CACACCAATTGTATGACATTAGCAGCTCTTAATTTTTATAGCGACTCCCTTTTTTTCTCAGCCAAAATTCATTATTTTATTTTGCGTACGAATTCAGTTCTTAACCTAGAGCTAATTTAAAAATTAAGTTAAAATTCAGTAGAGTTCAATAAAATCCGCCTATAATTCTTACTTTAAAATCTATGTATATGTATCTAAATGCATGTGTGCAGAAACAAATCCTATTGATTCTATTGATCCTAAGTTATTTAGATGAATATAGCCGCAAAGAGAAAAAAACAATTGAAATAAATTATTCACCATATGTGTATGTCGCTAGGCAAAACCGGTTCTCATGATCACAATTCTATTATTCACTTTGCATATCCTACTTTTTGACATTGTTGATCGCAATGAAAATGTACTTATGTAAATATGTGGTATATACCCTGTGGGGAAATTTTCTAGTTCTGAACTGGTGCGCTTCTAGTACATTTAGACCCAGTACTGGTTCGCGATAAATCTCTTTTGCATGCAAGCAACTGGCGAATTTAACATGGCAATGTCCTACGAAGTGTCAATTGCCCCCCGCTACATCCCTTTTTCGATAGTTCCGAACTAGTCCTAAACTCTATAGTTCCGAACCAGTTCTAAAATCGACAGACGAAAGAAAAAAGTATCATGATTTTTCAATCTTTTTGGTTCTTCCGTGTGTGCGATTTTAAGTTATTTTGGAAGAAATGTGTTTTCAATTTGAAATTAAATTTGTTTGAATGATTGTAAGAAATGTACGTTTACATACCTTTAGCTGTAGCTGAGTTTGCAGAGGTGCTCGCTCTTATTCTGAGATTCCAGTCGGACCCAAGATGTTGAAATGTTAACACAAATATTAGTTTTGTATTACCAAGCTATGAAAATGCATCTGCGAAGCACAGAATAGAATCGTATTTGAACGAAAAAGCCGCAGAACACATATCTAAGTAAAGTAAACAAGCCCCCCGATGCATCCCTTATTCGATAGTTACGAACTAGTTCTAAATTCGCCAAATAAGATGTAGTTCGTTCTGCATCCCTTTTTCTATAGTTCCGAACCATTTCTAAATTCGTCACTTTATATATAGATTTCTAGTGAAAAAAACTGAAAAAAATTAGTTTTTTAAAAGTACCACTTTTCACCGATTTTGGACTGATGGGGATCTAGTTCCTTTTTAGCGATAAAGACCTAGTTCGGAACTAGAAATTTGATTCACTAGTCCGCGGTTTCCCTGCAGGGTAGGTCCTCGTGTGTACTAATTTGTAGTACTGTATGTATAAAAATATGTAGGTGTATCACTCACATGCTTACTCCAGAGATGATGGTACCAGCACCCTGTTGATAACCTGTGGAGGGGAGAGACCTAATCTACATATGGGCATACATAAATACGTGCATACACACGCCAATAGCCGCGATTCCAATCATTGTATTGTCGCCTGAACCCGGGAAACTTATTAACAAAAAAATTATATATTAAGCAAATTATACTCCACGGTGATTAAGTGATCTTTTTACTTTTTTTTCTCAATTAATACTGTGACGAATACTGTGGCAACACAAAGCAAACAACGAGAAATAGGCAGAATGTTCGAAGAATGACGTAGAATGTTCCACAAAGAGAAACGTCAAGTTGGATGAACACTGCGAACAGCGAGAGAAAGAGAATGAGCGATAAACTTCAGAATGTTCTAGAGTTGCCATAAGTGCCAGCGCAGGTATATAAGGGCGCCGCCACCGCGGAGTTAGTTAGTTACGAGTTACAAGTCAGCAAGCTACAAGTAAACTGAGCAGAGAAGCGAGTTGCGAATAAGCAAGCTATAAGTTTAATTGTGTTAACAAGTATTAAAGCGTTGTAATTGCTTTAACAAGTATTGTAGTGTTTTTACTGTATTAGCAAGTATTGTAAAATTGTTTGTTGTACAATAAAGTTAATTGTACTACCATTTGGTCATCGTTAGCCTTTATTTAACAATCCAGCGATACGAACCGGAGGATTTGG